CAAGTCCTTACTTAATAAAACTGGTTTTTTCTTTCCGAATATAACTTTACCGATACACTTATTTTCAACAGTCACGCTAAACAAACGCTATAACAACGAACGTGCTCAATAATACTTCTGACTGCAGATCAATTACTCACTATCTATACACACATTACCTCATTCTCGCGTCACATTGTCCCCTCTTATATATACCAGTCTACCCTATCTAGTAAATACTAGAGCATTCATGAAAAAACAAGATAGTTCTAGAAAATAGAGGGCACCACACCAGTCACGTGACCTCGATGACGCAACAATACTTTCTGACTGCAGTTCAATTACTCACTACTTACACACATACATTCCATCACGTTGTGATCCTCTTATATATACCCTATATCTAGTAAATGCTAGGGCATCCATGAAGGAACAAGATATTTCTGGAAACATGGCTCGACACTAGTCACGTGACCTCGCTGACGTAACAGTAATATATAATACCCATGTTATGTCATGTAACAAGAAACAGTATAAAAGGAATATTTGACTGTGAAATGAGGCTTTGTGAAATTCAAACAATTACCTGATATGATAAATCCCTTGAGAACTGATGTTTTTTGATAAAAAAAAGTGTTTCAGAACAGTAAAAACAAAAAGTAACATTAGCATTGTTCAAAGCAACACTATTTACACTTAATTTTGGTATTAGTTGTGTTGAACTTGAAACAGTTTATTGTTAATGTTCAACATGTGTTTAATGGTGTGTGTTTTTTGTGTTTTTTTTTTCATTAGAGGTTCATGACTATATAGCTTGTTCTATCTTATGGGTTTGCTCAGAAGAAAGATGATCATTTTAAATTAAATGTTGATGATGATGTACTATCTTCTAATACTAAGTACTTCTAAAATTTTGTACTAGTATTATTTTTGGAGTTTGAAATTTTCTTTCTATCTTTGTTTTCCTTTGTAGGCTGATCCATACATATCTATAGCTTTAGGAAGGAGGAGTGAAGATAATCATGAAAATTATAAACCCAATACTGTCAGTCCAGTTTTTGGAGAGTAAGTTTGTATATTGGTGACTAATTTTGTTGCTTTTATCTATGATAATTATATCGTTTGTTAATAAACTGTTCATTATGGAAATGTGGTTATTGAAATGTGAACTGCTCTTGGAGTTGTTAGAAAATATTTTAGTTATAGTAAGCTATAACGATCTTTTAGTCATTAATTTTCACACCAACATTAAAAGGACTTCACCATTTAGTTTCACTATATTCTTAAGATTGCATGTCTAAAAAATAGCATTTGTTATTGAAGGGTCACCTTAAAGTAAATTTGTATTTTATGTCTTGCCTTTTGACATTAGATAATTGAATCTTGAGTTTTTTTAGGTAGTTATTGCAAGACCCTTGTCACATTTTCAAAATTTTCTATCAAACATTATTAAGAAACTTGTGTGTATTTCAAAGCAACATTTCTCTCACATGTATTTGTTTTTTGGATAATGTATAAAATAGTATAACAATAAAATTTACTTTAATTACCGTAATAAGAAAAAAGAAAGGACATAATGGCTATTTAAAGTTCCTGAACACCTAGAAAGTACCATAAAATTAAGAAAGAGTATAACTTTAATATGAAATACCTGATTATATAAAAGTCTGTAAATGCTAACATATACTGCAAAAATTAGAATTGTTTGGACATATTCCAAAACATACATACCTCTGCTGATACTAATAGCTATTTCTCGATCTTCATCTACCGTTGTGTTCATTTGCTCCAGTCTTTATATACCCCACTCGAATGCCCTCAGCAATATCTAATTTGCAAAACTTCATGCTGGCCCTCACACGCTCTCTATGCAGGTACTGTATATAAGCACTGTATGCAGACAATAAAATTACTTTTTCTCAACAAATGCAAGCATTCAAACTGTTTGGATCTATTGTTGGATTTATGGGGTGCCAGGTACGAACTTGTTATCTCTTTTACCAGGTCAGAATTTTCACGGATTTGTTTGACTCTTACTATAGTTTTAAGTTACTTCTCTTCCCTTCAACTTTTGTCAGAAGCATGTCACTGATCACCTCAACAATTTGACAACAAACTGGGCCCTTTACTGGTCACTACTGTGACACGTTTGTCCCTATTGAGTTCCTTTAAATCCCACTAAGTGGCAAGAGTAGCCCATTTGGGTATATTTGTATTTAAATTCCACACTAGCAACCTTTATATTAGTTCCTGGTTGCAATGGGCTCTGTCGAGATGAGGTGTTCCATAAGACCATCTGGACACAATACTGGATGGCGATATCATATTACAATATTTCTAATGGACCATTACTCATGGACTCTCATGAGTAAAGCTAAAGGTGATTTTGCCAGTCCCTGTTGATCTTAGAGCTGAATCAGTCGAGATCAATTTGCTTTTAAAAATTAGGGAACATGGTTCACCTGTTGCACTGCCTCTGGAGACCTGTTCCTCAGGACTACCAAATGCTTTCATTCCCCCCTTACTTCTACTAGTGGAGCTCTGGAGTCCTTACCACACCCAGTTTCTAGTGGCTGGGGTGGTGGACAGAGGATTTGCCTTCGGAATGTTGAGTTTTCTCCACTCTCGGGGAAGAGGTTGAAGTTGAGGACCTTCCTACCTGGGTCCCTGGAAGTTTTCCCAGATGTCGGTATTAGCAGGACCAACCTATGTGGGAGCCTACTTGTAAAAACAGTCCACTATCTCCTCCTAAATCTGAATGTGACATGGTCCCATCTTTGGTCCTTGGTGGGACAGTGTTCCACATCCTCTCCTTAATTCCATGGGTAAGTGGAATTCTCCTTGCCCACTTGGTGGGGGAGTAAAGACGACTGTTTGTAAATCCAGACTGGATGAGTTCTGGACTTTGGTGACATATGGCATATGATCCCATCAATCTAGGCCTGGGATGTTATCTTTTGGACTTCTTCAGGTTGATTAGAATGATTGTCCACTTTGGTGTTGCTTTCTTTCTTTCATAAATTCAGTGGTTTGAAACGCATCATTCTGTGGTTACTGGTAGGGATCCTATCACAAAGATATATATATCTGCGGTCCAACTGCTCTGGCCACCAACGTGGGATATGGGTACCATGACCTCTTAAATCCAACTCGAGTTGTGGATCCTCGGCTGTTTGGTTGGGGCTGGACCATCATACTTGTATTATATTCTACCCTTTTAAATTTTCTGTAGATCTGGGTGAAGAGCATACCTGTTCTGGATGTAGTGTGGTGTTCCCCACTTTGATACCACTTCTTGTGATACATATTTGTTCTCTGCAGACACTTTCTGTATGATCTCTGTCCTCCCTGGCCCCTCTGCCTTCTCAATGTGGATTCTATCTATTAGTGTCAGT